AGCCCAGCGGCTGGTCGCACCCGCAGAGGTTGCTGAAGGTGATGCGGGCGTTGAGCACGTGGAAGAGGGGGATCTCTGGGGGTACAGGGGTCAGTGGCCCCGCCCCGGGATGGACCCCTGCCCTGCCCTGCCCTGCCCCACCGGCCCCGCCCTCACCGATCTTGACGGGGAAGCCGGGAGGAAGCTTGAGGGTGATGAAGTCGCGCAGCTTGGCAAAGTGGGCGTTGGAGATGGCCATGAGGTCGATGATGGGCGTCACCTGCTCCGCCAGCGACAGCGGGTGCTGCTCGCACAGCCACAGCGTCGCCTTGAACCTGCCCGGGCATCGGCGTGAGCACGGGCACCCCACCAGTGCCACGTCCCCTGGGGCCCCGTCACCACCCCTGTGGGTCCTGACACCCAGTGCCACGTCCCCAGGCCTGTGTCACCACTCCCCATGGGTGCCCCGCCTCCCTTGGTGCCACATCCCAGGGACCGGGTTACCACCCCCGTGGGTCCTGACACCCAGTGCCACGTCCCCTGGGACCCCATCACCATCCCTGTGGGTTCTGACACCCAGTGCCACGTCCCCTGGGGCCCTGTCACCACCCCCGTGGGTCCTGACACCCAGTGCCACGTCCCCTGGGGCCCTGTCACCACCCCCGTGGGTCCTGACACCCAGTGCCACGTCCCCTGGGGCCCTGTCACCACCCCCGTGGGTCCTGACACCCAGTGCCACGTCCCCTGGGGCCCTGTCACCACCCCCGTGGGTCCTGACACCCAGTGCCACGTCCCCTGGGGTCCCATCACCACCCCCATGGGTCCTGACACCCAGTGCATTGTCCCCAGGCCTGTGTCACCTCTCCCCACGGGTACCCTGCCACCCTTGGTGCCACAGCCCAGGGCGTGGTTCACCACCCCCGTGGGTCCCTTACACCCCTGGTGCCACATCCCCAGGCCTGTGTCACCATTCGCCACGGGTGCCCTGCCACCCTTGGTGCCACATCCCAGGGACTGGGTAACCACCCCCGTGGGTCCCTTACACCCCCGGTGCCACATCCCGGGGGGCCATGTCACCACTCCCAGGAGTCCTGCCACCCCCAAGTGCCATGTCACCGCCCTGCATCAGCTCCCCGCCATCCCGGTGCCCGCGTCCCTGGGGCGCTGCCACCCCGGGGCGGCGGCCTCACCTCTGCACCTTGCTGGACATCTCGATGGGGCGCCCGATGTTGCGGGTCTCCAGGTCGAAGTGGGGGTCGAAGTACTCCTCGGGGGTGATGGCGGTGGGGTTGGTGGGGCTGGCAGCCTGCAGCACGGGTGCCTGCGGC